TCACAGATTTGCAAGACTGCTGAGCACATCGGCCGCTCCAACATCTCCAGAGATGCTTTCATGCAGCTGCAGGACGTGGTCATGGAAACCCAACTGGAAGTTCAGGGCATTTTCGACGTGCGCTGGCTTTCACGCGGGGATGCAGTGGCGCGGTTTTGCGAAGTGCTGCCAATCCTCCTCTGGCTTTGGCACAAAGAGGACCAAGCCGCGTACAAGATCGGCACAAGTGTCAGTTCATGCTCTTCTTCCTCGCCGACGTGCTGGAGATGCTCAACACCCTTAACATGGCGTTTCAGAGGCTGGTGGTAAGTTTGCATCATGTCATGGCCTTTGCTGATACAAGCGCTCTTTATTAACTGCCCTACCCCTCTGCCCTGCCCCTCTGCCCTGCCCCTCTGCCCTGCCCCTCTGCCCTGCCCCTGTGCCCTGCCCCTCTGCCCTACCCCTCTGCCCTGCCCGTCTGCCCTGCTCCTTTGCCCTGCCCCTCTGCCCTGCCCCTCTGCCCTGCCCCTCTGCCCTGCTCCTTTGCCCTGCCCCTCTGCCCTGCCCCTGTGCCCTGCCCCTGTGCCCTGCCCCTTTGCCCTGCCCCTCTGCCCTGCCCCTCTTCCCTGCCCCTCTGCCCTGCCCCTCTGCCCTGCCCCTGCTAATGAGCAGGTGGACATCGGCGAGGTGAAGCTCCTCGTCGATAAACTGAAGCTGAAGCTGGCGCAATGTTACGTGGAGAACCGCGCAGACTATGGGACCCCAAAGAGCAAGCACCTGCATGCTTTTCTCGAGAAGCACGGCAGCCCTGACAAGCGCGAGATCACCATCCGCGGCCTCGACAAGCAAGGGACCGCATGCACCATCAAAGACATACTGCATGAAAACCCCATCGGCAAAGACAAGAAGACGGACCTGGATTCGTGCATCAAGCTGGGGCAGGAGTTTGCGCAGGAGTTGATCGCAAAGCTGGACTACCGCCTTGGGGACCTGAAGCATTTTGACGGGGCAAAACTCTTCATGCCAATGCACTACCCGCCGCGCCCTGCTGACCGTGAAGGATGGCTCAACGTCCACCTCTACGAACTCCTTGACATGTTCAAGGAGAAGCTGCCCGGTACGTAAGAATGCCCATGATCCAGTACATTTTATATTCCCAGCAATGTTATTATCATAGGTGCTTCCATGTTTAACTTATTCTTCTCCTACGCCCACCCCACCACCCGCAGGTGTCACGTACCAGGAGTGTCAGCTGGAGATGGAGCTCTTTGCTGCCACAATGTTCAAGAAGTTCAAGGACCTGACTTTCCAGCAAGCCCTCACTAACGTGCTACGCACCTCAGACTGGAGGGATCATTACCCCACCCTCGTGCACTTGTGGCGTGCACTTGCTGTCCTGCCCCTTAGCACTGTTGAGTGCGAAAGGGGCTTCAGTAGGCAGAACATAATAGAATCATGGGACAGGACTGCTCTTAGTGATGTTAAGCTAGATCAGCTGATGACTGTGAAGATGCTAGACTATCCTGTGGAGTGGGTAGAAGTGCACAAGATCTTCACTGCTGCCAAGGCTAGGAAGCCTTCTAAGCGTGCATAGAGAAATGATGCCAAGTATATTTTTTTTATGTAGTGTTTGCTTGTAGTAGTTTGTAGTTGTAGTCATTGTAGTTAAAATGAAGCAGCAAAATATGACGCGCCAAACCTGATTCAAAGGGTGGAAAATTTTCCAGCCCTGACGCCTAAAGGGCCAAGATTCGCCCCAACTCTGCTAGATACAGGGTCGCACGTGGCAGGCCCCCTGATTTGCCCGGGGGCCCCAAAACGAATCGACAGCCCTGCCTGCCACTCTTTGCTCTCGCGAAATCCAAATTCCCTTGGCGACTCTCGCCAGATTGCTTTAGGGCGTGTCTGAAGTGCAAACGTCGAGTTTCGTCAAATTTCGTCGACGAAACTCATCCGTGGGACCCACGCGTGTTGGTGTCTGAAGTGCAGCCTGACATCCCTCGACGAAACTCGACGTTCGTGCACATGTCGAGGGATGTTGAACAGTGATACCGGGCAGCTGTTTGAGTCACTGTAGTCAGTGAGTGTTTCAAAAACAATTCTTCGACACGCCATGTCTGCATAGCTGTGGCAAACACACGTGAATAAGAACTAAGACGAGAGCGACACGTGCTAGAGAAATTTCGCTGGCAATGTGACAGTAGAATATCCGGTGTTACCAGCAACAATCTATGCTAAGCGAAATTCGCGAGATTGCAAACAATTGAGTTACATGAATGATTCTGTTAATTCCACGTCGAATTTTCATGGGCAACTTATAACAGTGTTCCTATGGCACGTGTGGGTTATTTTGTCGTGTGGGTGTCTGAAGTGAACACAGCTGAAAATGGATGTCGAGTTTCGTCAAGGAACGTCGACGAAAGTTTCGTCGGCAAACGTCGAAATTCACTTCAGACACGCCCTTTGATCCGGTGAAACGCAACCCTGGCACAGCCCTTCCCTCCAGACACAGTCTCCGCTGGCTGCCTATTTGAGCTGCCTATTTTATCTTTGCAGATCAGCATCAAATAAGATATACAGTGTTCATTGCGGTTTCCCATGCGGTTTATTGAGTTATGATGTGGTTCTTCTTCAAACCTTCATCTCCCATATCTTCACCTCGTCCCTAGTGAGGAAAGTTCAGTGCTCGATCCGCTTTATGTGCTGCTGACCAAACAAGTTTCCACTGCTGCCATTTCTGTCAGTTTACTCCTTGCACGTGATCGATTCACGTGCTTCGTGCTTAGGGCTGCGAAATCGATTTGAAAGTGTGGAGAATGGCTAGATTATCTTTCCAGCGTGGAAGGCGGTGCTGTAAATTTCCGGCAACTCGAAATCGTACGTTTTCGTCAATAGAATCCCCTCTGGATTCCTTGACGTGCTCAATGCTCAGAATCGCTTACACACCCCATCCTACAAAATCCATCCGACGTGGAAGGCGGTGATGCTGGAGGGGGCTTCTGTTGTCTTCCACTTGCAATCATACATTCAGATCCGATAAATTCTCGATAAAGTCTCAAGCGATTAACGTATCAGCTTCGGCCTGAAGTGTGTGGCACTATGCTGGCGGGTAGTACCGCGTCTGCCTCTTGGGGTCCAACGCATCGCCACCGCGTTCACCCTCATTGGTCACCCGCGTATCGCTCGAAGGACAGACAACCTCAATGGCTCTCGAAGGACAGACAACCGCAATGGCTCTGGAAGGAAGGGAAAATTAGTTTTGCATCTGGAGCCTCTCGCCATCATATAATGCAGCGCGTGATTGCCTCAGCTTCACATCACCAACTCGTTTCAAAGTTAGAAACTTCACATCTGATTCCGACTACTACTAATTCCACCGCACTGCACTCCACCTAACCATAGCCAGTACTGCTATCGCGTTTTGCGTGCAGCGTGTCCCATCACGTAATGGCGAGCCGCCCCCAGCGATACTCTTCTACAACTTCGCGAACCGCCTCGTGTAATTCACTCGTGGAGCTTCGCGATCTTTATCCACCGCACTGGAGGGAAGAGCAGCAGGCGGAATGTGAATTTGACCATCGGGTAGACTTTTACGCATCGGACCCGGTGCTTTCTGGCTGCCCTGCGCAACGTCCCTGTGCGATTCCCGCCGCGTCCGCTTCACGAGCTACTTCCGCCTCCCTCCGTCGCGGAGATGCGCTGGGGTCTGCCCACCGCCGTGCGCTTTCCGTCTCTGGCGCGTGCGGAAGGCGGCTCTTGCTCCCCTCGCCTCCCAGCGGGGGCAAACCCGCCGCCTGCGCGTTCCGCCGCCGCCGCCACCAACTCGTGCTTTCCAAGAAACCCAGTTTGTTTTACTTTTCTGAAGACGAAAGCACGACGATGCAGCGTTCAGATGGTGCTGAGGATACCACGCCGTTGCCTCGGGTCTTTGCGCGGAGTAAAGCGTACTCCACTCCGGCGGCCGTCGTTGCCAGACACACACCAGCGCCTCATGGAAAGCCAGACTCCCAAGTGGTGGCAACCCAGGCATCAACTGCAGCAGCACAGACATCATCAAGTGCAGCAGCAGAGGCAGCACCATCGGCAGCAGCACTGGCGGCATCAAGTACAGTTAGCAGATATGCAAGGTCATTCTTTTGGCGGATTGGCCCCCATGAATACAAGGCTGGTAACAGTGCCAGTGCTGTCAGCGCCAGTGCCGTCAGTGCCACGCCCTGCAGCAGCATCCCTGCTTCTCCCACTTCCTCCTCCTCGCCCCTTTGTGCAAGAACGTACAGCAGCAGCAGTGCCCCTTCCTCTCCTCGTCCCGTGCTACCAGTGCCTTGTTCTGTGCCCAGCTGCACCAGCACTGCACCCAGCAGTAGGCGAGCCGAGGATGAGGCTAGGAGGCACCAACCAGTGCGTGTCAAGCCGTGCCTCACTGCTCCCCACAGCCCTTGCAGCTTGGAAGCAGGCTCGCCAAGCAGAAGCCCCAAGCGTGTGGGCTTTGTCAAATACGTTGAGATTTTGGAATATGTTGCCTAAGACTTGCGACAGAAAATTTGGTCCCATCAGAGTGTACATGAGCATTGGTGTAAGCATCGATTAAACCCAGAGTTTCATGTATCGAAAATCTCCAAAAACTGCAAAACATTTGATCGTGGTTTACCAGGAGCCAGGAGAGGGAGGGAAGAGGAGTTCAGTGTTGTTTTCAGACTAAAGATCAAGGTGTACTTTATCTTGAAACCTGCCCAACTGAATCATCCAGGTCCGCATAGGCTACCCACGGGAGTGTCCATACAAGTAGGCATTCTATATTGAAGGACATGCTTGGCTAGTCTGCCCGTCAACAAATGTTCCAATCCCATCACTCATCCCCACCACCTTTTCCCTCCTTGGCTTTCCCCAGAGCCAATTCTTCCAGTCCCTTGAGAGCGGTGCATCCAGATCCACCCCCTCCTTCCTCCCCCCTCTCCTCCTCCACCTGCCCTCTGCCCCCTGCTATGCGCTTGGCTAGTCTGTCACCACGACCACACACATCACTCATCACCACCACCAGCTTTTCCCTCCTTGGCTTTCCCCAGAGTCAGTTCCTTCAGTCCCTTCAGCAACGCTTCCATATCCACCCGCTCCTCCCCTCCCTCCTTCCCCTCCTCACCTTCCCCTGCCGGCCCTCTCCCCCCTGCTGCGCGCTTGCCAAGAGCAGCGACAACAGCAGAGTGCAAGGTGGAGAGAGAGGAGAAGTCAGCAGGGGAGAGCGAGGGCTTGAGATGGGTGATGACGGCAGAGAGAGCGCGGCCGGGGGCCTGAAGGGCCCTGTTGTGTGCCTGTGTGGGGCGAGACGAAGAGGGGCACAAACGGATGGGAGGGAGGTGGGTAGTGGCAGAAAGGCCGTGAGGGAAAGCAGGTAAAGGAAATTCTGAAAGGAAAGGCGGCTGTGCGATGGGTGGGAGGAAGAGGGAGGGGGAGGGGGGGGGAGAGGTGAGCTAAGAGTGACAGTAGTAGGAGGGAATGAGGAACGGGATGATTGTGCTCATTCCACGAGGAGCAATGATGGCAAGAGCTTGTGTGCAAGAAGGAAGGAAGGGAGCATGGAAGGTGTGGAAGGGAGAAAAGGCAGAAACGGAAGAACGATCGAAAGAATAACAGCAGGAGAAAGAGGGGAAGAAAGAGTGGAAGAAAGAGGAGAAGAAAGAGGAGAAGGCAGCAGAAGGAAAAGCGGAGGTACGAGCAGGGAGAAAGAGAGGAAGGGAGAGGGGAGTACCTGCATGAAGAGAAGAGCCACAATGAGGGGCAGTGTTGCAACAGCATCCTCCTCTGCCTTCAGCTGTAGCTGAAGGCTCTGTTGGTGGGCGAAGGGCGGGTGAAGTGGCGAGAACGACAGACACGGTTGATTTGAGATGCCTTACAAACAACTAGCAAGTCATAGAAGAACAGCATCCTCCTCTGCTCTGCCTCGAGCTGCAGCTGAAGGCTCTGTTGGCGAGAAAGGGAGGGCGGGGAGAACACAGCACAGCACAGGAGTGCCTTAACACAAGATGGCACAGTCCAAGCATAAGCGCTCCTCCTCTGCTTCGAGCTGCAGCTGAAGGCTCTGTTGGCGGGGAAGGGAGGGTGAAGGAGGGTGAAGAGAGAAGAGCGGCGTTTGGCAGCCACTAAAGCAAAGGGGCTAAGCTCGAGCTGGCACAGCCTAAACAGCATCCTCCTCTGCCTCGAGCTGCAGCTGAAGGCTCTGCCTAGCATAGTCTAAACGCCTACCACTCCTCACCTTCTTCATTGAGAAGAGCAGCGCACGCTCAGCCTTCTTATCCGGGCGCTTGAGCCGGATGCCGAGATCCTTCTCAGCAACTTCCTCCAGGGGCAGCAGCACCGCCTCCACCTCCTTGCCCTCCAGTGCTGCTATCATCCTCTGTGCCCGCTCCCTGGGACCGCCGCCTGGCAGCAACTTTGCTAACGCTGCCCGCCGTGCTGGCGTGTAGATGATTGGGGTTGAACCGAGCACTGATGCTGCTGCTCCCTTATCTTTCTTTTCACGCCCCATCCCTCCTCCTGCTCCTTCCTCGTTCGTTGCTTCTGCTCCAGTGCTCTCTTGTTGCTCCCCGGCCTGCATCCCACTCCCGCTGCTCCCTCCGCCATTGCTGCTGGTGCTGCTGGCGTCATCCTGGGCAGTGATGACGTCATGGTCCAGAAGCACGGCGTGCAGAAGCAGGTCGACAGGCTCGGAAGCCGAGGTTCGGAGAACGTGCCGGGAGATGAGGGTCTGGTGGAAAGAGGAGGGTGGGTTGGAGGGGGGCCGGGGGGAAGTGGGGGAGAGGGATAAGGGAGGCACTAGTGTATGGAAGCCGAGGTTGGGAGAACATGGTGGAGATAAGGGTTTGGTGGAAGGAGTAGAGAGAGAGAGAGGGCGGGAGATGGATGGGGAGGGAGACGGTGAAGGAATGGCGAGATGGAGAAGGAAGGGAAAGGGTAAGGAAGACAATTCGGGTGTGGAAAGCGAGGTTTGGAGAAGACTGGCAGGCTGGCAGGTGTGGCATGGGATGAGATGAGATGGGATGAGATGAGATGGGATGAGATGAGGTGGGATGAGATGAGATGGGATGAGATGAGGTGGGATGAGATGAGGTGGGATGAGATGAGGTGGGATGAGATGAGGTGGGATGAGATGAGGTGGGATGAGATGAGCATGATGGCTTGGTGGAAGATCGAGAGAGAGGGCGAATGATAATGGAGGGTGAGATGGATGTTGAGAAAGCCGTGGTTGGAAGCAAATACGATGCAACGTGTATGTGCTCAGGGGAAGATGCGAAGAGAAGAGATGAGTGACCGACCACAATAGGGTCAGCGGCCCCAAAGAAAGCAACAACAGACTTACCACAGTTGCAGTATTGTAGTCCAAATTCGACTTTCCTGGAACATGTGCATACAGATAGAGGCACTTTCAGAGGCAGCAGGGCAAATCTTTACCTTGGAAGTAACTCTGTTGGGTTACGATCAAACTCACAGCAATGGTTGCATCGTCCGGATCGGATTGAAAGCTGCTGCTCCATGTGGGGCCCACAACTACATGCATGTCCATGTGGGGCGCACATCTACATGCAGTGGTAAAACAGCTGACCCGGCGAACATTCTTCTCATGAGTTGGTTTACCGTCACACTTACAGCAGTAGCTGCATCCTCATCCGAGTTGAAAGCTGCTGCCCCGTGTGCATACAGCACCAACTGGCCCAGCATGGCATTCACTCGAGACTCCACTGCCTCCCGCACCTGCCATGTGCACACATACATGCCCACCACACACACCACACACAGGGTGATTTTTTAGTAAACTCCAAAGTCTTCGTCCGAGTTGAAAGCTGCTGCCCCGTGTGCATACAGCACCAGCTACCCCAGCATGGCATTCACTCGACGCTCCACAGCCTACCGCACGTGCGACATGCACACATGCACACACACACTCTTGGTTAAGATGATATTTGAGTTGTTAAAAAACAATGCTCTTCCACCTGCCACATGCGCATACACAATAAATGGACAAATATACAAAACAACCGTACTCTGTTTCACTGCATAGCTGATCATGCATAAACCTTTGTCAGAAATAGTGGGGCAAGGCTCGTTGGTTGATAAAGCTTACTCAATGCTTTGATAGTCCCGAAATAGTTAACCACGCAATGTATAAGTGCATATCCGAACCTGTCGCCGAGTCTCGGTGGTGCTTCCGGACGTAAAGGCTGCGGCTCGGCGTCGCTCCTCCGCCCAATAAGAAGCTAGGGCGGGCTTCAGGGCGGCCACTAGCAGACGAGCAAGGCCGGCCGAGCCCCCTCCCTCAGCATCATCAGCCTCATTGTAATCAGAAGCATCGTCATCTGGAACGGATGGGATGGGAAGAAACTCAGATGTGCGATGGGATTGGATAAATGGAGCAATGGTGGTGGACTGACGGGTTGGATACGAATCACTTTGAACCAGGCTCAGACCAAAATCTTACCAGCTAGACAGAGAGACACCTACTGCCGGAGCATACAAGCAACAGTACACCAGCACTTTTAAAACAAAGCATACCAGCAACAGTAGCTTCCAGAAGGTCAGGATGCCACGTCAGCACCAATCGCGTCATCTCAGCCACCGTCGGCATTGCCTCGTCCTTTCTGCCCTTCCTTTCCGCGCCTCCCCTCTCCCCCTCCACCTCCTCCTCCTCTTTCCCTTTCCCTCCTCGCCATCCTCCCCCACCTTTCCCCTTCCCTCCCTTACCTCCTCCCTTTTTCTTCCCCTTCCCTCCTCTCCCTCCCGTTTCCTCCTCTTCCTCCTCCTCCTCCATCTCCCTTCCTCCACCCCTCTTCCCTCCTCCCTTTCCCCCTCCTCTCCCTCCCTTCTTCTCCTCCTTATCCTCTCCTCCCTTCCCTCCTCCGCCTTTCTCTTGCCCTCCTCCCCCACCCCCTGCTGCCGCACTCCTGGTGCTTGCTCTCGCTGCTGCTGCTGCCGCCACTGCTTTTTCATGTAAAAAGGACTGCAGGCGCTGGTGAACGGACTGCAGAGAAGCATAGACAGCAGGAAACAGGAAAGCATATAAATTGACACGAGTTCACAAAAGGCTGCTGCTGCTACCACTGCGTTTCTGTGTTACACTGATCACATCCACTCGTGATAGACTGCAGGGAAGCAGTGACCCTAAACCCCAAAGCCTAACCCTAGCAGCAGCACCAGCAGCATCACCACTGACAGCAGCTTCCTGTGCGGCGGCTACCTGTGCTCTGAGCAGCATAGATTACGCCCCGCACAGCATGCACACATGCTTACCTGCAGCAGAGCAGACGAGACCACGCAGGTATCACCATACACGTCCGCTGCGGAGATAACTGCTGCAACGGGAGCTAGACTGCGGGCCAGTCACGTGTGCTCGTGTGATCTCTGCGTTCGTTCACTTAGTCGTTTCCTTGTGTTCACGCTGCTTGCTAGTTCACGGGGAGAATTGGCAAGAGTTTCACTAGGAAAACATGACAACAAAAAAGTTGGAACAATATTGGCAACACTGACTACATCAGAGCTAGCTAGGCTGTTGGTCGACCTCCAGCGCAGCATGGTCGACAGCGCTCCAGCGCAGCAGCGCTCGCACCGCTCCAGCGTTGCAGAGTAGTGGTTCGCCAACGTTGCAAGTCCACGGTGTGCCAACGCTGCAGCAAGTCGGCTGCACAACGTTGCACCTGTAGGACAACGGTGCACCTGCTTCGCAGGTGCGCGCAGCTGGTTGGCGCTCCACACCTTGTCACGAGCACAGCCAGACGCCTGGCAGACTCCACGCCAGCGACTGCGCCCACCAGCCACGTCGACCTCGGGATACCACCCCGGCGACACCCGCACACGTCGCACGGGTATCCTGGTCGACCGGGCAACCACGCCTGGCCGACCAGCGCAGTCCGTAGCCGGCCGCGCATGCCCGGCGTCCCCAGTCCGCCATCCAGGCGCCCAGGACGCCTTCCGAACCCCAGGTCGGCGTCCAGACGCCCAGGACGCCGAGCAGACCTCCAGAGCGGCGTCCAGCCTCCCAGGACGCCGACCAGACGCCCAGGTCGGCGTCCGGGCCCCCCAGGACGCCCAGGTCGGTATCCGGGCCCCCAGGACGCCGTGCAGACGCCCAGGGCGGCGTCCCAGGCTCCTAGGACGCCATGCAGACGCCTAGGTCGGCGTCTGGCCTTCCAAGACGCCGTGCAGGCGCCCACGGCGTCGACCTGGCGCCCGGGTGGTCGTGGCGACGCCCAGCTCGGCGTCCAGCTTCCCAGGACGCCGTCCAGGCGTCCAGGACGCCAACCAGGCGTCCAGGACGGCGTCCTCCTGCTCGGCGCCCTCCAGCCAGGCGCCCTCCAGCTCGGCGCCCTTGCAGTGGCCCCCGTGCCCACTGCTGCAGGTCGGCTGCAACACCCGCACATCCGACCACAAGGTTGGCTCCGCCCAAGTGAGGACGGGGCCTAACAACACTCCCGTTGACACTCCCCTACCGCGTTCACGCTTGGGCCCCTAGCCCACACGGCAGTACAGCTCCGAGAGTAGCCCGTCGGCGTGCACCCAACACACAGCACGCCGGTCACCGCACCAGCCATGCAAGAGGGCATGGCACCTACTGCTGCACGTCATCGTCACCGTCGCCCGCGTCGGCCAAGCGCACCTGGCCGATTGCAACGGAGCACCGGTTGAAGGCCGGATAGTGCAGCGCCTTCGTCAGGAAGTCGGCCGGCTGCTCAGCGGTCGGGATGTACTGCAGCGAGAACTTCCCGCGCTTCACCATGTGCTGCAGCCAGGCCTGTCGCCGCTCCATGTGCTTGAGGTTGCCTGTCAACCCCATGCCCTCGGCGACCGTGATGGCCGACTTGTTGTCCACGCGCAGGACAGTCGGCTTCCCAGCGTCCAGCTGCCGGAACTCGGCGAGGAGGAAGCGAAGTCGGCGTCCCTCCTTCCCGGCTTCGGTGGCCGCCACGTACTCCGACTCGGTCGACAACAACGTCGCGCACTTGATGCGCTGGCTCGACCAGGAGACCGCGGCCCCACCGTAGACGAACACGTAGCCACCCGTGCTCGTCCTGTTCTGCTTGTCACCGGCGTCGTCGGCGTCCACGTAGCCGACCAGCTCGAGCGACTCAGGTCCACCGCCGAACTCTAGGGCGGTGTCACGCGTGTTGGCGAGGTAGGCGAGGCAGCGGTCGACCTCGTGCCAATGCTGGTCGCTCCTCACCGTGAGGCCGCTCCCCAGCTTGCTGCAGGCAAAGGCGATGTCCGGCCTCGTCGTCGTCGCCGCGAACTGCAACGAGCCGACCTTCTGCCGGTACTCCTCCTCCTGGCGTTCCTGCGCCTCCTCGTCGTCGAAGGTGAGCTCGGCGTAGGCGTCGAGCGAGACCGGCGTCTTCGGGGTGCGCCCGGTCTGCTCCTTGTCGATGAAGCGCCTACGTAGCTTGTCGGCATAGCCCTGCTGGTGCAGCCACAGCTTCCCCGCCGACCTGTCGCGCACGATCTCCAGCCCAAGGTACTTCTGCACCGGCGAGATCTCGCGCAGCTCGAAGGCGGCTTCCAGCAGCTCCTTCAGCTCTGTCAGCATCGCGGCGCTGCTGCTGGCGGCAAGCAGGTCGTCGACGTAGACCAGCACCTAGCAGGCAACTCCGTCGTCGCCGATCTTGAAGTACAGAGCCTCGTCGACCTGGCTCTTCTTCCACCCGGCGCCGACCAGCACGTCGTTGAGCGCCAAGTACCACAGCAGCGGCGACTGCTTCAGGCCATACAGGCTCTTCAGCAGCTTGCACACCCGGCCGGTGCCGTCGTTGAAGTAGTCCGGCTGAGACATGTAGAGCACCCGGTCGAGCTTGCTCTGCAGAAAGGCGTTCTTCATGTCGAGCTGCATCAGGTTGAGGTTGAGGACGGCGACGATGCTGAGGAAGATCCTCAGCGTGACGTAGCTGCCCACCGGCGCGAACGTCTCGTCGTAGTCGGCGCCGTACACCTGCGTGAAGCCCTTCACGACCAGCCTTGCCTTCTCTCGCTCGACGGTGTCGTCGATGTGGTATTTCGTCGTCAACACCCACCGGTTCTTCATGATGTTCACTCCTGACGGGCGTTCGACCAGCTCCCACGTGCCCATGTTGATGAGGCTGCGGATCTCCTCTTCCATGGCGGCTTTCACCGTCGGGCCCTTCCAGCTTGCCAACGCCTCCTTCACCGTCATCGTCGAGATGTCCCAATGGTGCTCGGGGTCGGCCTGCATGTCGGGGTTGAGCTCCGGAAACTCCTCATCCTCCTCGGCGTCGTCGTACAGCAGGTCATCATCGTCGACGTCGTAAACCGTGGTGAAGGCAGCGGAGACGAAGAAGTCAGGCGGCCTCCGAAGTCGGCCTGAACGGCGTGGTCCCGGCTGGACCTCCTCGGCGTCCCCTCCATCGTCGCCGTCGTCGCTGCCCTTGGCGTCCAGCTGCTCCTCAGCCGGCGTCCCAGCCGACTTCTCACCTGTGGTCGGCGTCCCAGCCGACTTCTCCCCTGTGGTCGGCTCCCCTGCCGACGACCCGGTCGCCGACTGCTCCTTGGTCGGCGTCGCTGCTGCCTGCTCCCCTGTCAGCTGCTGTTCTGCAGGCGCCTCCTTTACCGGTTTCACCAAAGGCGTCTGCACCACCTGCTGCCTCCCAGTCGGCGTCAGCTTCGCTCCCACGCCGACTTGCACAGTATCACGTCGGCCACCGGCGATGCTTGGGGCCGGCGCCACAGGTGACGCCCCACGTCTCCCCTCATCACCGGAGGCCGACGTCGGGGTCAGCCCATGCAAGTCGGCGTCCAGGGGAGGGGCAGGTGAAGGGTAGGGACCGGGGACGTCCTCGGCGTCCTCACCAGCAAGCGCACCGACCTCCGCGAGCAGAGGCACCGACGCCGTCGAGGTGTCCGTTGGCGGGTGAACCGGCATCCGCCCTGACACCGGCCCGTACGCCGACTTCCACATGTCCAGCGACATGCTCTCGTAGAACACCACGTCCGACGTGGTGACCACCCGGTTGTCGGCGAGGTCGAGGAGCTCCCAGCCCTTGCTCTCCTCCGACACGCCGGGGTGAAGGCCCCACCGGGCCTTTGGCTGCAACTTTCCACCACGCTGCTGCTCGGGGACCAAGAACTGAGCCATGCAGCCCCACACCCGTGCAAGCGACAAGTCGGGCTTCTTCCCGGTCAGCAGCTGGTACGGCGTCGTCCCCGGCGGCAGCGCCGACCTCTCAAGGCAGTTGCGGACCCAGACGGCCTGCCGAAGGCGAGGTGCCACCAGTGGTGCTGCACGCCCATGTGCAGCAGCATTGTCCGCACCGACTCCACCACCGTCCTCATCTCCCGCTCCGCCATGCCGTTCTGCTGCGGGGTGTATGGGCAGGTCAGGTCGTGGACGATCCCCTTGCCGTTCACGAAGTCGGTGAACTGCTTCCCGAGAAACTCCCCTCCCCGGTCAGAGCGCAGCATCAACACCGACCGCTTCGTCTGCCTCTCAGCCACCGCCAGCCACTGCACGAACTCCCGCAACGCATCGGACTTCTTGGCGGCCGGCCTCGCCCACACGTAGCGGGTCTTGCAGTCCTTCAGCAGCAAGAAGTACAGGCTGCCATCCTTGGCAGCCACGCGGAACGGCCCGCACAGATCGATGTGCACCACGGCCAGCACGTCGTCGGCGTCGGAGCCTTTGTCGGGGAAGGTGTGCCGCGTTAGCTTCCCGCTGACGCACGAAACACACGGTGAGTCGGCGCCAGACGCCGACTTGAGGTCCAGCCCGGTGGCGACCTCGTGCTTCGCCGAGCTCCGGATGGTGTCCATGCCGACGTGCGCTAGCCTTGCGTGCATCCTGTCCGGCGTTGCCTTCGTCGCCGAGACGATCGCGCGCAGGGCCACTACCTCCGTGGTAGGCGTTGTCGGCGTGGCCGAGCAGGGGCGCAGGTCGGTGCAGAGGACACGCCCGGTGTACGTCGCCCGACCGAGCACCTCCCCTGCTGCCGAGACGAGCAGCATCCCGTCGCCGTCCTCCTGCAGCTTCACGCCGTGCTCCTTCAGCTGGCCGGCTGAAAGCAGGTTTGCCCGGACGCCGGGTACGTAGAGCACATCGGGGATGAGCACCTGCTTCCCGGCCTCCCCTTGCAGAGCGACAGTGCCGCGGCCCTGAACGTCCTGGAGCGCCCCATTGAAGCCGCGCACATGCTTCACGTCGCCGCTCGGCCCCAAGTCGACGAAGGCCTCCTTCGTCCCCATCAGGTGGTGCGAGCAGCCGCTGTCGAGCAGGACCACCGCTGGGTTCGCCTGCATAGCTGCTGCTACCGCCTGGAAGTCCTCACCGGCCTCCGGCGCCAGTGAGACGGTCGGCTCCACGACGCCGACCAGCGAGCACGACGCCGCCTTGTCGTCTCGCCCCTTGCCGCCTGCAGAGGAGTCGGCGTCCGTCGCCGAGGCCGACTTGCTCGACTGCTTCTCCTTGCGCGGCTTGTTTCCTCGACGTGGACGACGGCTAGCCGACCTCCCGCGGCCTCCCTTAGCGTCGTCGTGGTCGGTATCGCTGCGGTCGGGACACTCGAAGGAGAGGTGGTCAGGGCTGTGGCAGATCCAGCACTCCCGGCGGCGACTTCCTCCTCCGCGACCGCTATCCTTGGCCGACTTCTTCTTGTCGGCGTCCTTGCTCGGCTTCCAGCCACTGCTACCGCCGCTGCCCGACTGCCCACGCTGCCCTGGTCGGCCTCCTTGCTTCGTCGGGGCGACGAAGTTGGCCTGCACCAAGAGCTCCTGGGATCGCTCGGCCTCCTGCATCGCCTCGTCCTGCAGGATATACGAGGTCAGGTTATCCTCGTTGAGCGTCATCCTCGTGCTCGGCACCATGGACAGCCGCTTCAGGAGATTGTAGCTGCTCGAGAGCCCCTGAATGACGTGGGTGACGTACGACGCCGTCGAGTACTGGGCGCCGGCCATCCTGATGGTGGCGAGAATTCGCCGGGCCCGGTTGCAGTAGTCGGTCGCCGTCTCCTCGTCGCCCATGCGCAGGTGCGTCAGCTGTCCCTCTAGCTGGGCGATGAACAAGTCGTCGGTGACTTGATAGGTCGACTCGATGAAGTTCCACGCCCGGTGGCCGGCGTCGAGGTACTCTCGGCACCACTTCAAGGCGATCTGCACGCCCGGCGAGCAGCACCGCGAGATGACCGTGAAGGTCAACAACTGCACGGCGCGAAACTCCGCACGCAGGTCGGGGTGGTGCTCCCCCGGCGTCGCCACGGTCCCTCGGGCGAAGCCAATCAGCCCAGCCATCTCCAGCTGGGGCTCGATGGCTTCCTTCCAGGTGAGGATGTCTTGTCGACCAACGAGCGGCGGGGTGACCGAGATCCTGTCCGGCGTAAACTTGAAGTAGCCGTAGCTAGGTGCAATCCCGCCCGCCGTCACCTGGGTCGCCGACATCGGCGACAATCCACTTCGACGCCCACCAGCGTCGCCCTGAGAGGAGCCTGCAGCCGCCGACGACTGCACCCCTCGCGCCTGAACGCCACAGGCTTCACCGGCGTGTATCACACCTCGCTGCCTCGACGTGTCTCCCGCACTGCTGCCGACCTGGCCTCCACCGGCGTTGACGCCCACGTCGACGCCGCCATCGTCGTTCACCGGTCGAGGAGAGGCAGGCCGAGAAAGGGGGTGCTCCGCCGCCCACATGGAGCGGAGTCCTGCCTCGACGACTGCCCGGGGTATCGCCCCATACTCCTGGGCCTCATGGCGTCTCCTCGCATCCTCCAGCCGTCCCTCAAGGGTGTCCATCACCTCGGCGTCGCCTACGCGCACGCTAGTGACTGCACGGCTGCCGGTCTACGAACACGATCGGTAAGTGCTAAGTCGGCTAGACTGAACTACGTCGCGGTGTCGTCCACGCTTACCGCACCATGCGGAGATCTGCTGCAACGGGAGCTAGACTGCGGGCCAGTCACGTGTGCTCGTGTGATCTCTGCGTTCGTTCACTTAGTCGTTTCCTTGTGTTCACGCTGCTTGCTAGTTCACGGGGAGAATTGGCAAGAGTTTCACTAGGAAAACATGACAACAAAAAAGTTGGAACAATATTGGCAACACTGACTACATCAGAGCTAGCTAGGCTGCTGGTCGACCTCCAGCGCAGCATGGTTGACAGCGCTCCAGCGCAGCAGCGCTCGCACCGCTCCAGCGTTGCAGAGTAGTGGTTCGCCAACGTTGCAAGTCCACGGTGTGCCAACGCTGCAGCAAGTCGGCTGCACAGCGTTGCACCTGTAGGACAACGGTGCACCTGCTTCGCAGGTGCGCGCAGCTGGTTGGCGCTCCACACCTTGTCACGAGCACAGCCAGACGCCTGGCAGACTCCACGCCAGCGACTGCGCCCACCAGCCACGTCGACCTCGGGATACCACCCCGGCGACACCCGCACACGTCGCACGGGTATCCCGGTCGACCGGGCAACCACGCCTGGCCGACCAGCGCAGTCCGTAGCCGGCCGCGCATGCCCGGCGTCCCCAGTCCGCCATCCAGGCGCCCAGGACGCCTTCCGAACCCCAGGTCGGCGTCCAGACGCCCAGGACGCCGAGCAGACCTCCAGAGCGGCGTCCAGCCTCCCAGGACGCCGACCAGACGCCCAGGTCGGCGTCCGGGCCCCCCAGGACGCCCAGGTCGGTATCCGGGCCCCCAGGACGCCGTGCAGACGCCCAGGGCGGCGTCCCAGGCTCCTAGGACGCCATGCAGACGCCTAGGTCGGCGTCTGGCCTTCCAGGACGCCGTGCAGGCGCCCACGGCGTCGACCTGGCGCCCGGGTGGTCGTGGCGACGCCCAGCTCGGCGTCCAGCTTCCCAGGACGCCGTCCGGGCGTCCAGGACGCCAACCAGGCGTCCAGGACGGCGTCCTCCTGCTCGGCGCCCTCCAGCCAGGCGCCCTCCAGCTCGGCGCCCTTGCAGTGGCCCCCGTGCCCACTGCTGCAGGTCGGCTGCAACACCCGCACATCCGACCACAAGGTTGGCTCCGCCCAAGCGAGGACGGGGCCTAACAACACTCCCGTTGACATCCGCCCCATCCAACCCCTGCCCCTCTGCACCACCAGCACCAGCAGCACCACCAACACCACCACCTGCCTTCTACCAGCACTGGCAGCAGCGCAGCTTGCACTCCGCACAGCATGCACACATGCTGAGTCTGTCCTTTGAGAATTCTCAAAAAACACACATGCATACCTGCAGCAGAGCGGACGAGACCACGCAGGTATCGCCATACACCTCTGCCCCATCCAACCCCTGCCCCTCTCCAGCAGCACCAGCACCGCTGGCAGCAGTACTGGCAGCAGCAAGGGCGGCAGCCTTCTGTGCTCTGAGCAGCACAGGGCAGAGCTGCAGCAAGTGGGCACAGTCGGAGGGAGAGAGCGCTGGGGGGAGGGCTGTTGCTGCATCGCACCTGGAGGGACGGAGACAAGGAGAGGAAGGGGGAGTGGAGGGGAGGAGACGGGATACTGAATCTCTGAGCAGCACGGGGCAGAGCTGCAGCAGGTGGGCGCAGTCAGAGGGAGAACGCGCTGGGGGGAGGGCTGTTGCTGCATCGCACCTGGAGGGGAAGGAGGGAGAGAGGGGGAATGCATGCAGAGAAAGGGGTCGGGGATTTCTTTTGAGATGTCAAGTCTTCACACATGGAGAGGACGGGAGAGGCATCAAAGAAAGAAGTGGGAACATTGAATGCTTTGTGTAGCACAGGGTAGAGCTGACACAGGTGGGCAAAGCAGGCGATCAAAGCAGGGGCGAAACGCAAGCAGGTGGCGGAGAGAGGCAAGAGCCTAGAGGCAAGTGGTGAGGGAGGAAGACACGTCGATGAATGCAGGCTAATTACAGCAATGCGCAAGCCCTGCACGTCCAGCACACACTTCTCACCACGCCACCAACGCGACGCACCCACCATGACTTTGCTGCAATCGCCTCTTCCACAGCAGCATCCAGCTGATGCACCAATGAGGAGCGGACAAATGTCAAGTCCAGAAGCACAAGTGTGTGTGTGTGTGTGTGTGTGTGTGTGTGTGTGTGTGTGTGTGTGTGTGTGTGTGTGTGTGTGTGTGTGTGTGTGTGTGTGTGTGTGTGTGTGTGTGTGTGTGTGTGTGTGTGTGTGTGTGTGTGTGTGAATGTGTGCGTGCGTGCGTGGGTGTGTGTGTGTGTGTGTGCACGCGCGCGTGCGTGTGTGCGTGTGTGCGTGTGTGTGCGTGTGTGTGTGTGTGTATGTGTGTGTGTGGGTGTGTGTGTGTGTGAATGTGTGTATGTGTGCGTGCGTGCGTGGGTGTGTGTGTGTGTGTGAGTGTGTGTGTGGGTGTGTGTGTGTGCACGCGCGTGCGTGTGTGCGTGTGTGTGTGCGTGTGTGCGTGTGTGTGTGCGTGTGTGTGCGCGCGTGTGCGTGTGTGCGTGTGTGCATGCGTGTGTATGTGTGCGTGTGTTTGTTTGTTTGCTTTTCGTTTTTTATTCTCTGTCTTCCCCGGCACCTCAACAGCAACCCCCATGCCATCAGCACACCCACCATGACTTTGCTGCAATCGCCTCTTCCACAGCAGCGTCCAGCTGATGCACCAATGAGGAGTGGACAAGTGTCGAGTCCAGCAGCAACGCGCTGCTCTTGTCGGGAAACAGCGACTCCAGGTACTGCCGCGGCTGGGGGATGCCCAGCTGCCGCACAGCGGAGAAAGTTATGAAGGCGTTCTGAAAGGTGGAGGGATGTGTGGCGGGGTGGAGATGGCATAGAAATGGTGTGAAGAGTGAGTATATGTGGACTGGAGAAGGTCAGCAGTGCGCTGCTCTTGTTGGGAAACAGTGACTAAAGGTACTGCCGTGGCTGGGGGATGCCCAGCTGCCGCACTGCGGAGAACGTTATGAAGGCGTTCTGAGGGGTAGAGGGGTTCGTGAAAGGGCCGGGAGGAAACGGGATGGGCCAAGAGGAGTGGGAGGGAGTGAAGGGGAATGATGAAGAGAGACTCGAGGTACTGCCGGGGCTGGGGGTGGGGGATGCCCAGCTGCCGTACAGCACAGCGGAGAAAGTTATGAAGGCGTGGAGGGGTGAATGGAGAGGTGGAGATGGCATGGAAATGGTATGAGTGAGGAGAGGGTGGGCAAGTGTAGTGGAGTAGTGGCGCGCTGCTCTTGTCAGGAAACAGCGACTCCAGGTACTGCTCTTGTTGGGAAACAGCGACTAAAGGTACTGCCATGTCTGGGGGATGCCCAGCTGACACACTGCGGATAAGGTTATGAAGGCGTTCTGAGGGGTGGAGAGGTGTATGGAGTGGAGGGGTGGAGATGGCGGGAGATGGGACAAGAGAGGAGAGGGAGGGAGTGAAGGGGAATGATGGAGGGACTCACTCCCTCCCACTCCCTTGCTGCTGCCTCTCACCTCTCTAACCTCACTTCCCAATTCCCAGAATGGACCAAAAACGGCACAGCCGAGTCCCCTGCGAAAAGAAGGACTCTACGCTCTGCCGCTGCAGCTGTGCGAATATCTCCGGCACCCACCGCTGCTGCTGCCCCCCCTCTCCCTCGCCAGCATATGACAAGACAAGGGGACGAGCAATAGAAGACCTGACTGACCTGCGAGAAGAATGCCTCGACGCTCTGCCGCTGCAGCTGGGCGAATATCTCCGGCACCCACCCCGTGCCACCACCCTTGCTGCTCCCCCGCACCTCCCCCTCCGCCACACACTCCCCAAACACCCGCGCAAACAGCGCCGCCTCTGCCGCCCCCACTGCTTCAGCCTTCCCCCCTGCGCCTCCTCCTCCCCCTCCTCCCCCTGCGCCAACTCCCCCTCCGCCTGTCCCTCCTGCTTCTGCCCCCCCTGCGGATTCTTCCTTGCTACCACCTCCTGTCACTTCTGCTGCCCCCACTGCATCTGCTTTACCACTGCCACCAGCAGCAGCAGCAGCAGCAGCAGCAGCAGCAGCAGCAGCATCAGCGCCATCACCAATATCAACACCACTACCACCTGCAGCAGCAGCGGCAGCAGCACCACCAGAACCAGCAGCAGCAGCAGAAGCATCCATGCATGCCCGCCTCACCTCCGTCCCATCCCCATACTCCCTCCCATAGTCCCTCCCCAGCTCCCGCACCACAGACGGCCAGATATCCGCCATATTAGCAGCCTCGGTAAGAGCGCGGGCTGCCCCTCTCACAGCAGCGCGCATGCGAGCCATGTGCGCGCCGGTGAATAGCTGCCCGCCGCTCATGGTGCCGTGGATCTGGAAAAGGCAGGGGGGAGGAGGGGAAGAGTCAGGTGTTTTATTGTGGCATTTAAAGAAGCTGTAAAACTCCCACCCGAGCCATGTGCGCACCTGTGAAGAGCTGGCAGCCGCTCATGGTCCCGTGGATATGGAAGAAGATGGGGGGGAGGGGGTGGGGAGGGGGGGAAGTCGGGGTGGGTACTGAACTGAAGCCTTGGAAAGAGCCTATGGTGCGGCTCTCATCAACAGGGCTCCCACCCATGCCATGTGTGCGCCGCGTGTGAACAGCTGGCCACTGCTCATGGTGCCATGGATCTGGAAAAGGGAAGGAAAGGGTGGGGGGGGGAGGAGAGGGAGGGGGGGAGTCGGATGACAAAATCCAGGATTTGATAAGAGCCCTGGCAGCTGCTCTCTCAGCAACTCTCACATGGAGCACCTGTGAAGTACTGGCGGACACTCACATGGTGCTCTCACATGTGTGTCTGTCTGCCGTGGAATCTGCAGTACAAAGGTGGGGGAAGGGAAAGAATCAGATTCGATGCCATGCAGTCTGCGCCCACGTTAACGCACAGGCACAGAGACGCATAACCCAGAACCCCGCAATAAACCCCACACCCCTCAAACCCCAAACGGCACCCACCCGTGATCCCAGGCGCGATGAGAGAATGGAAGCCATGAGCTCCGCGCCCACGTTGAAGCGCATCGCCAAATCAGAGACCGCCACCTGTCCGCTCTCCTGCAGGGCGGCATCCACCTCGTCCGCCACCCCGTCCCAGTAGTCATGCGTGATCAGCTCGCCCTGCACCAGTTGCACCTGCTCACGAGCAAGGGAGGGGAGGATATGTAGTGAATGCTCATATGAGTGGTGAATGCTTGGGTATGTGCGGGCTGGTCAGGCCTGCATCTCCATCCACCTCGTCTGCCACCCACCCCGTCCCAGTGGTCATGTGTGATCAGCTCGCCCTGCACCAGCTGCACCTGCTCACGATCAAAGAGCCAAAGGGGGCCAAAAAGGGTTGAAAAAGGGCAAAAGGGGTCAAAGGTGGTGAATGGGGCACAGCCTGTGACGTGGCATCCTCTGAGGTCTAACTAGACTACTGGTCATTGCCGCCTGTTCACCACAGCAACAGACAAACCCACTTTCAGCAGCGTTTCCACACCGCAGCACAACACCGCAGCACAACACCAACGCACAACACCACAGCACAACACCGCAGCACAACACCGCAGCACAACACCGCAGCACAACATCAACGCACAACACACAGCAGGTACATGTTCCTAATCACATACCCATGGCTGCTCCTGTGTCTTGGCATTCTCCAGAATGTTCTTCGCCGCCCGTTCACAGTAGAAGAGGTCCACGTTCAGCAGCGTGCCCAGGTCCACCAATGACACTCTGCCACGTCGCCGCACCTCCTCCTCCACCTCCTGCTGCAGTCGCTCCTGGAAAAGGGGAAGTGAGGAGGGACGGCGAAATGCAGAAAAGTCTTATTGATGTTGTAAAATACCGTGCCTGCCACGCTGCCTGCCACACTCCCTCCCTGCCACGCTGCCGTGCCTCCACTTCCACCTCCTGCTGCAGGCGCTCCTGAGGAAAGGGGAAGAGGCGAGGGGGAAGAGGCGAGGGGGAAGAAGAAGCAAAGAGCTCTCATGGGATAATCCTGTGGCTGCTGCGGCCTACTCTTTCCCATCCACCGAATACAGCAGAGCAGGTCGTCTTCCAGCATTTCTTCCTGCACCCCACACTACAAATGTGCGTGAGCTAGCTTTGTTTAATAATATATAAGAGTATATATACATATTAGACTACACACTGCAGATGATTACTGTACCTGAGTAATGTACTCCTTCCCATTGAGGGAGTACAGGAGGTCGTCCCCCAGCAGCCCCATGGCAGTGAGATTGGTGTAGAAAATAGCATGTACACAGTGTACATGTATGATAACACATAACTACTGTACCTGCGTGATGTACTCCTTCCCATTGAGCGAGTACAGCAAGTCATCTCCCAGCAGCCCCATGGCGGTGAGCTTGGACACCAGCTCCACCACATTCCTCTCCGACAGCCTGGTCGCTGCTTTCACCTCCTGAGCCGCCTGGAACTGCTGCTGCAGCAGCAACAGCTCCTCGTCCATCTGCTTCCGACAAGGACGAACCGTATTCGGGACAAGGAACGGGGGGCAATGCGGTATGAGAGTGCAAGGAGACTAGCGGGATTCGATTCTTGAGCCGCGTGAAACTGCTGCTGCAGCAACGACAATCCTTGGTTCATCCGACGTCGAATGGAGGAGCAGGAACACAGACAGACCAGCCGCCACAAGTGTATGTACTTCTACCCACGTAATCTACCAATACAGTCATACAAGTGTATGTAGTTTTATAGCATCTACCAATAATTCAAAAAATGTTTAAATAATTCCTCAACCATATCAATCCTGGCCCAACAATATGACTTCTACGCCACCTCACAAGTAAATTAAAGAGCCTACACAGGCAGGCAGGCATGGTTTCAGTAGCATCTTGCCTTCAATTCAACTACTACCCATCATACCTTTCTGAGCTGATTGAGTCGACTCATAAACTAGCAAGCAGGCCTGGTCCCAGTAGCAGCTTTCTTTTGGTCCAACTGCTAACATCTCACCTTAATGGATCTCAAGGCGAATTTTGAGGCCCCTAAAAAAGGAGTATCAGCTGTCTTTTGCTTGAACTATTTGCGACCATCTCACCTTAACGAATCTCAAGGAGGTCGCAGACTAGGTTCGAGACTGTAGGAGGCCTCGTGGTACTGAAATTGTCAGCCTGACGGCCTGGCAGATGGAACGGGAAGAATGGAGCAGGGAGGGGGGGAGGGAGGACGGGGAGAGGAGGCCACGTGGCACTCAAAATGGAAACCTGACGGGCTGGTAGATGGAAGAGGAAGAATGGAGCCGGGGGGGGGGGGGGGGAGGACGGGGAGAGGAGACCACGTGGCACTCAGACAGGCAGGCTGGCAGCCGGACAGATGGAGAAGGAAGAGGAGAGGGGGAGAGGTTGGTGGGAGGGGGGGGGGGAGTTTGGGGGGAGAGGTTGGTGGGCGGGGGGTTAGAGGAATTGATACGGAGGGGAGGCGGCATGTAACAGTTTGATTGTTCCGCAACTAGCTGTAACTGCTGTTGACATGGATGTCTTTTGAGTGGACTCAAAAGTCAACGCTGTAACTGTCGACACGGATCTCGTGGAATCACGGGGATCGTAGGTGCTCTCTGCCCGTCCCGCTAGCAGCGCCAACAGAGCTGGCGGAACCTAGGAGGGACGGGAAAACGCCAAATGTGACGACGGGAACGGATGGGGGGAAGGTGACGGGGGAACGGGACAGGGGAGGCGGATTGCGATGGAGGGGGGGGGGGGGGGGGGGGGACGTGACCTTCCTTGGGTCACGCCAAATGCCGGCCTATATTAACCGCTTCAAAATTCGCCGAATGCCAGTGCGCGGGACGCATCGGCGACAATTCCTGGAATGGACGCGTTAGAGACTGCGTGCGATTCCGTGACACTGCCAGCAGAGATTTGAACGGAAGAGTCGCCGGAAAATGCGGCGCGAAACCTCGTAACGAATTTCGGTGCAATGATATGTTACGCTAGTTCCTCGGTGCATCTTCTCGAAATGCAAGGGTCGGCTTATCTACCTATACTTAACAGCCGAATGTGCAAGAAGGCTGCCTAGGGCTTACCTTAGGAGGTGATTGAGGATGTAACGTGCAGATTTGGAATGGTCAGGAGCCACAGCCAGCGAGTGATCAGGCCTCCCAGCCAAATGTCATGTGTCGTCTGAAAAGGATTTACAAATCCTTACTGAGGCACTCGTTAGCGAGGCCATCCCGAGGGGGACGCAACGAACCTGTTCGGCCTATTTCGTCGGCCGAACCACTCCCGAATCGGCCTCCGCTCCAATCGCAACCATCACCGAGCCATCCTTTCCCGACCTCCCCGCCTAGCTAGCTTTTCCCCTATTTAGGCCTCGGCATTCTCATTCGTCATTCTGTAATTCACATTCTCGTTATTCGATATTCTGCGCACTCTGCAAGTTCATTCATAACATCGTCGCTACAAGAGTAACAGCTACAGCAAAATGGATTATTTATGTAACGTAGATCCCTTTACACTTTTGCGGCACAATCTGGGTGATACACAGCTGGTACAAGCTCCAAACACATATATAATTAAAAAAAAAAAAAAAAAAAAGCGAACAAACGAATCTGCGAAGTTATGTAGGTAATCAGCATACAGAAGTGCACACGAGGACGCAGACTGGGCAATAGACGAGATTGAAATTTCATTATGTTCCATTCGCCATGCCTAATATCGAACACATAAAGAGTTGGACTTGCCATGTCAGGAATGCAAATACGTCAATTTAGCATAAAAATGGCACACACAATGACACAACAACTATGGTCCTACCCACACAGCGGATGGCATGTGGCACCTGCATAACACACCTACTACCGGTACTGATACACCCTTTAGATGTCAACTACCTCTTTGCACTGAAGCACAAAAAAAACTGGAAGCTTCAGATGCTTGAAACTCCTCAGAAGTTCCAGAGGGCGTGCTTGGCCTCTCCCTCCCGTCCAACCACCTCCTGCTTAGATGCAACGGTGGGATTACTGCATCCAAGAACGAAAGCACCACCTTCAGAAGTTTTTGAGCACGCGCTTGGCCTCGCGGACGCCGGAGAGCAGGGCGCCATGCACGGTGGCCTGGTACTGCCAGATGGTGTGCTCCCCCGCAAACAGCACCCTCCCCTCGGGCAGCGCCATCACATCATAGTCCGTGCAGTGATCCTCGTTCCCCCGCACGCCCACGCGCGCATAGCTGTACGCCCCCCGCGAATACGGTTCGGCGGTCCAGCGCTGGATCCAAGTCGCCAGTGCTTCCACGGGCTTCTTGCGATACTGCGGGAACATGCGCGCCATCTTTGCCTTGGCGTCGTTAATTACCTCCTCATCGCTCATCGTAGCCATCCGCTCCGCATACTCCCCCAGAGCCACACCTTCCAATGCCGTCTGTCCCCACGCTCGTTTCAGGTTCACCCAGTCAACCCACCGCCCACGATTTGCGGGCAGCTGCGCATCGTCGATGAAATATTCGTCCACGTTGACCGGCCAGAAGGTCTGGTTGAAGAAGAAGAAAAAGATCTTGGCGATTGCGCCCACTCCCAGGCGGGCTATGGCGCCGGTTTTACGGGGGGGGAGCGACGGAGAGAAGGCGATGGTGTTGGCCTTGAGCACCCCGAGAGGGATGGTGACGATCACCACGTCGGCGTCCAGCGTGGTAATGGCATTGGTGGCGGTGTCCTTTCCAGTGATTTGAACGCCAGTGGAGGACTGTGAGATGGCAGTTACTTCAAAGTTGAGGGTTAGAACAGCGCCTGCTGCCACTGCTTCCTGTGATGTGTACGGGTTATGGGTGGGTGGGGGAAGGTGGGGGATGTGGTGTGGTGGGAGAGAGGAGAGGAGAAGAGAGGAGACGAGAGGGGGGGAGAATGCATGGGAATCTTGGGGATCTAGTCATAAGTGTAGGTGACCCCCATGGTGGGCGGCTTGTTGAGGTCTCAAGGGCTCAACAATGATACGCACAAGCCCTTACCCTCCCCATTACCTTCCCACCCGAGGCATGCCTTCCCTTCCTTTCTTCCCATCCCCCACACCTCCATGATCGTGGATATCTTGTCCTATCTGTTGATACCCACCAGTCTGATCTTTGGGCCTCTCAATACTCCCCCTTTCCTCCCCCCCACCCCAGCCACACATCCCCCATCCCCCACCTGCCATTGCTAACCACCTGACATCTGGCCCTTAGACAATCTCCCTCGTTCCCTTCCCTCCCCAACCAAGCCATCCCCCCGCTTGCATGAGCATTTGGGGGATCATGTCAAAGCCAGTGGTAACCACCAGCCTGATCTCTGGGCCTCTCAGGACAACCCCCCCTCTCCCCACCCTATACCCCCTTCTCTTCCTCCCCCCTCACCTGCATGAGCATCTTGGGGATGTTGTCGTAGCCGTTGGTAACCACCACAGTGGGTGGCTTGAAGGCGAGCGAGTCAAAGTACCACGCAGAGAGGCGCGAGAGAGGGGCGGCAAAGTCAAACTCAAAGTCCACTGAGAGGCGCGACTGTAATAGGAATGGGAAAGGGTGCAGTGAAACGCAATAGACGAATGTCAGGTCATGGGTTGTGAGACAGGAAAAGGGGCGGCTTGAAGGCGAGTGAGTCAAAGTACCAAGCAGAGAGGCGTGACTGGCGGTGGATGGGAAGGGGAGCAGGGAAATGCGATGTGAAGCTGTTGGTAAGTTGGTAACCACTGGAGTGGTTAACGATCAGCGATTCAAAGTACCACGCAGAGAGGCGCGAGAGAGGGGCGGCAAAGTCAAACTCAAAGTCCACTGAGAGGCGCGACTGCGAGTGGATGGGGAACACAGGAAGAATATGGAGATGTAATGGATTGTGAAACCAGAGAGAGGCCGGGCGAAGTTGAACGCAAAGGCCACTGAGAGGCGCGACTGGCGGTGGATGGGTATGGTATGGGTGCAGGGAAATGCGATGTGAAGCTGTTTGTAAGTTGGTAACCAGTGGAGTGGTTAACGATGAGCGAGTCACAGTACCACCCAGAGAGGCGCGAGGGAGTCAAACGCGACTGAGAGGCACGACTGAGAGGCACGACTGAGAGGCGCGACTGAGAGGCACGACTGAGAGGCGCGACTGAGAGGCACGACTGAGAGGCGCGACTGAGAGGCGCGACTGAGAGGCGCGACTGAGAGGCGCGACTGAGAGGCGCGACTGAGAGGCGCGACTGAGAGGCGCGACTGAGAGGCGCGACTGAGAGGCGCGACTGAGAGGCGCGACTGAGAGGCGCGACTGAGAGGCGCGACTGAGAGGCGCGACTGAGAGGCGCGACTGAGAGGCCCGACTGAGAGGCGCGACTGAGAGGCGCGACTGAGAGGCGCGACTGAGAGGCGCGACTGAGAGGCGCGACCTGAGAGGCGCGACTGAGAGGCGCGACTGAGAGGCGCGACTGAGAGGCGCGACTGAGAGGCGCGACTGAGAGGCGCGACTGAGAGGCGCGACTGAGAGGCGCGACTGAGAGGCGCGACTGAG